GTGTGGGATGCCTGGATGGTTCAGTTGGTTAAGGATGCCTTTGGCTCAGGTCATGATCTAGGGTCCTGGGATCAAGCCCCATGTCAGGCTCTCTGCTCAGTGGGGAGCCTACTTCTTCCCCTCCCTCTGACCCTCTCACCCCTCTCATACTCTCTCAAAAAAATAAAATCTCAAAAAAAAAAAAAAGGAGCCCAGTTCTCCCCCTTGAACTCTTTAGAACTAGTAGTTCTGGTTCATCTCCCAAAATGTACATATCCCTCATGTCAGAGAGACAGCTTCCAGCCTTAGCTCATCCCTACTCTGAATCAAGCCCTATCAGGATATGGTGAGGCCGCTCAGGCCTCACATATCAAGGGATCAGCAACTAAGTCAACAAAGTATGAAAATATTCTGTCCTGACCTTCTGTTTTTAGGTCAGGCTGACCAACTCAACATACCAGCCAGCAAATAATCTTCATTTAAATTTTAACTTCACTTTAATGGAAATCGCTTGACTCTTCTCTTTTCCCCTTCTTACACTTCACTCACTGCTCTTTCCCCGCTACTTCATTGACCACACACTTTGCCCCAGGACTATGAAATAGAGGTAGGCTCTTTACCTCCTAAGAATGGTTTGGAACTTGGGTGCCTGGGTGGCTCAGTTAGGTGTCTTGCCTTCCTCTCAGGTCATGATCTCAGGGTCCTGGGATCAAGACCCACATTGGGGCTCCCTGCTCAGCGGGGAGCCTGCTTCTCCCTCTCCCGCTCCTCCTGCTTGCATTCCCTGTCAAATAAATAAAATCTTTGGGGAAAAAAAAAAAAAAAAAAAGAATGGTTTGGAACTTACATGCTGTCTGTTCTTCAACTATTTAGCTAATATGCATAGTTCCACACAAGCCTTTAGTTATCTTTTACCCCTGACTATAAGAAGATTAAATTAGCACTGTCATCACCCCAACTGACATGCTATTGTCCAGTATTTCATTCCAGTCCATATCCCCCTCTCACAAATTACATATAGCTCTAAGTTAATGCTTTCTTACTTCTACCAACATTTACCAGTCTTTGTTTAGTGTCCTTTCTTGAATCTGGTTTGCCACTTGAGATCATTTTCCTTCTGCCTCAATAACATCCTGTAGATTTTACCTTTTCTGAGAGGCAAACCTTGCCTAGGTCCAAAAATAATGTTAGCCCCCCTTCTTTAAGTTCTGCTAAGTATCAATTTCCATAACAGTTCTTTTGTTCTCAACAGGATGAATGGTTAGAATTCCACGTTTCTGTCTTTGTTAATGCTGAGAAGTTACCCATCTGGGCTGTTTTCCACAGGTAGTTTGTGTTTTTGGTCTAGCTGCTCAAGATTTTAAGTTTTCTGCACCTCACCCTGTCTCTAGAAATGAGTTGCTTTTTTATCTTGTTTGGAATGCACTGGGATTCCTAAATCTGGGGTCTGGTGCCTTTCACCAAATCTGACAATTTATCTGCCATCTCTCTCTTCGGGTATTGCCTCTTCCTATAATATCCTCCTGGAGCTGCAGATAACGTACATGAAATCTTATTCTCTTGTCCCAACCTCGACATTGTTGCTATTTTCCATTCTTCCTTCTCTTCCTTCTTCTGTGGAATTCATTCTGGATAATTTGTTAACTATCTTCCATTTCACTTGTAGCCTTTCAACTTCTCCAACCTGTTTCATCTAAGTTTTTAATTCAACTTTGTCTTTCTCCTAATTGAAAATGGCTTTTTTTCAAATCTGATTGCAATCCTCTCTTACTTTCAAACTTGTTTTAGTTTATAATCAAAACGTTATCTCATTACAATCTGTGTGAAAATGCCAACATCTGAAGTATTTAAGGATTGGCCTCTGTGTCTTTCTGTCCATCTTTTTCACTTATGGGGCCTTATCTCTGTGCATCATCATTCTGGAGCAGGACTGCTCATCTGCCTTAGGAGTCTCTCTGTGGGAACTGAACCATTACCAGGACTGCATTTGCTTCTGGAAATCCCCTGGAGGCATGACCTACTAAGTACCGCTTTAAATTCCCCACTTACAATTTTTTGGACCACACGGACAGGCACAAAAATTTGTACTGAAAACCCACAGAGGGCCATCCTGTGGCTATGAATTCTCAGGGAAGATACTGTACTTCTTCCTTCTGTCTAGCACCATGTGAGACAAGCGTTCCTTGCTACTCCCCTCTATAGAGTTCATTTCTTATTCACCTTGACACTGAAGGTATTCCAGCTTTACCTGGAGTCACCTGCAAAACTCATTTCCTGTTTCCCATACCCTGTATAGTCACTAAAATAGATGCTTAAAGTCTGCTGAGTTTGGCAAAAACTCTGGGTAAAAGCTAGCTTTTAGCAATTGCTTACTTTTTAGGATTCCAGTTTTCACTTCATTTTGAAGATCTTTAGATTACTTATTTTTATGCTTGTTCATCAATGTGTTCATAAGTATTATTTATAAATATATTTACCCAGCATCTTGCTTGTTTCTGCTGAAATGACATTTCAGATGATCTAATCTACCCAAAATGCCAACAGAAGCCTGAACTAGTCCAAGCTGTAGGCACAATACTCTGCCCACCCTTGATTCTGAGAAGGGTAGGTTGTAAGAAGACTGAGAGCCCAAAGTTCACAAAGACCAATGCTAACCTTGTCTTGCCTTAAAGGTGGAGGGGAAAAGGTGTCAAGACAAGAGCCAAGTAAGTGCCTCACACAACTTCACCACAAATAATCCGGATTTTCTTTTCCTCAGGGACAACCACCTTTAGGGCATTCAGACTATGCACATTAACACTAGAGTATCTGCAGAAAAACAGCAAGATAGTATTCTCTTCTGCATCCTCACTGGAAGAACCTGTCCTTTTCAACAAAGAGATGTATATGGAGAGAAACGCAGCACTTTTTCCTTAGCTAAAAATCAAACCCCACACTTAAGATAATGTTTATAGCTCTTACGATGTATACTGACAAGTGTAAAGCTCTTGACTCGTCCACTTGTGGATAGCTAGTCCTGGTCACTTCAGACCACATGAAGAGGGGAAAAGACTAAGTCAGAATATAATGCAGACAGACAACATGGTTATTTTCACGCTTTCCCTACCTCACTTCCTCCAGCTTTCTTTCCATCCACGTCTGCCTCTAACTTCCACGTGGGTCAGCTTAAGACCTAATGCTTTAAGTGACTGTCAGACAACAGGAAAGTAAAAGAAATTCACTCCTACAATGTTTTTTTTGTGTGTGTGTTTTTGAGGTACCCTGCCTTTCAGGAGTGATTTAAGTTTCCAGACACACCTCCCTGGCTTTGGCCAATGGGGCCACATGCTCTCCAGTCCAGATACCCTTTGTAGCCAGAAGTGACACACTCATCAAAGTCAACAGCTCCAGAAGATTCCCTCTGTACCACCAGGCCCCATATCAAGGACTAGCTTCACCTCTCAGCAGCCTAGATATTATCTGTAGGACAGTTTGTAAGGTAAGAAGTCTTTCCTACCTACACACCAGCCTATCACCATTATCTCAAATTCGACTATAAGCAATTCATTACTTTGAAATCAAGTTTTCTTTATGAATTCTCCCATACTGTGATTATCATCATGCACACCATGTTACTAGCAATGGTGCCAGTGCAGTCAGAGACAGTTATCCCGGATTCCAGTTTGAGGCTAAAACCTTCAACTAAGTCATTAACTAGACCACGGTCTCAAGTTGCAATTAACTGACCACAGGCATCAGAATAACCCAGGTGACTTATCAAGATTTCAGATTCCTGAGTCACTTTTTTTTTTTTTTCCAATCAGTTTTTGGAAATGGAACCAAGGCATCTGCATTTTTTTAAGGTTCCCAGGTAATTCTTGTGTACTTGTTCAGATCCAGAAGTGAGGTCTAGTTGGTCTATTAAGTCTCTCCCTGAAAATACCAAGATGAATCTCTACTATCTTATACTTCAGATAGAAAGACAAAATTGAGAAATAATGATCTAGAAATACTGGCTGGTCCTTAGTTCTTCCTGGGGGAGGTATTTCCACTTTGTAACAAAATACTTTAAGTTCAGCAAGAAAGAACAAGTGGCCAAGTGAGGTCATAGCTTTGAGCGGTCAGAAAGTATTGTCTCAGCAGGACCCATTACAGCTAGCTATTTCACAAACATGTGCGGGGGGCTGGGGGAAGCCTCACTGAGATATAAGACTGGTAGAGCATCATCTATAACCACTTCCAGAAACAACTCAGGCTCTCAAGGTTCAAGAACATCATCAGCATATCTTGACAAAATCCATGGGATTCCTAAAGTTGGTGTTAGTAGGAGATAGCAACGGGCTTCCAAAGCATTCCTCAATCGGTGTCAAGATACTTAAGAGATATAGGGGATTTACAGATCATTCTGTTTAACACCTTATTTTAGGTAGGAGCAGAGAAATGTTTTGAAAAGGCCACAAATCAGGGTGCCTAGCTGACTCAGAAGGTAGAGCAAGTGGCTTTCACATCATCTTGGGGTCCTGAGTTTAAGCCCCATGTTGGGTGCAGAGCTTAAAAAAAATAAACAGAAGACCACAGATCTTAATCACACAGGGTTCGCATGGATTGTAAAGAGGACGTGTCCATCTGTTTCATTCTCTCACCCTAACATCCACAACACCTAGCACATAGAAGATGCTCAGTAAATATTTAGTAAGATGAAACAAATGGACCAACCCAGGGAGGAGGGAGACAGTAAGTTCTGTTTACAGTTCAGTATCCGTGGATAATAACTATAACAGAAATAAAGGCTATTCACCAGTAGCCTGTTTTTTCCACAGAGATTGAAAACCATCTCAAGTGAAGCTACCAAACCCCTTTGGAAAGCAAACTCTGATAGCTTTTTGGCTCTGTGACTCACCCTTCTAGTCTAAAACTACAACTGTTAGACACAAGCTTTAAAAGGGACCAGCTACAATGCTTAGATTTCCTGGTCTCACTAGCCCAAGAAAGTTTTTATACCCAAGACCTAGTTCAACAAAAATTGAGACATGACCATCATCAGAAGCTATAGATTTTTAATCTAAAGATTGGGCATACAGCAAGCATTTTACATAAATTCTTGAGTTTTTTAATTATATAATAGGAAATAGGGGCCCCAGAAAAATAAGTCTCTTTCCATAGGTCTTAATCCGTGGCCTCTGCGGTAAAGACAATCCCTAGCAACCCAGCCAAGTGTTTGCTACCCATCCACATATTATTTGGTAGGACATAAGAACAGCTATAGGTCTGTCCCTTGTCTTCTTACTGAAGGATTACGGATAGCCTGAAAAGCAATGTTGTGGCCCAGTATTCACTTATATACACGAGCCTTTTAATTACACATTTTCTTATTAGGAGGGCAGTTGGAGTTGGTAGCGTCTAACCTTCTAGTCATAAATGTTAAATGTTCAAAAGGACCATGTATTGCAATGGGCTTTGTTCCAACATTCATTTTATCGAATTTCCAAAAGAATTCCGGTGACTAAGAAAAGTCATTAACTCCTTATACTTCAGTGTCCCATCTAAGTTAGCAATAAGTTTCCTGTGCTCTACTTAACCACATTTAATTTTTAAGAATCTTAAGAGGAAAAATGTCTCACATGTAATTAAAAAGAATGTTGCTTGGTAAGAGTTGGGACTGAGCTCACAGTAATTCCATCCTGGTATAACCCCCTTCTGGCTGCTCTGGAGAGAAGAAGGACCCAGATACATATAAGGAAGTAACCAAGATGAAAAGGAGGGAAGAGATACAGCTTGAAGTGAAGAAATGACACAGACCCCCCACATACACACTTTAAAAACTTTATTTATATAAAAAACTCATTTGTTTTTAAAAGCATTAACAAGAGAGAAAGAAAAACAGAAAAGGTATGGAGCAGAAGACATGCCCCTTAGTAGTGTTCGGTGGGAGGTGGGATTTTTGGTTCTCTGGAATTGAATGTTTAGTGTTTTTATAAACAAAAAAGAAAAAAAAAAGTTAAAGGTCCCCAAAGCCCATGGCTGTTCTATTACCCACACCCCACCGAGAAAAAGAGCACCAGGAAAAGAGCAGAAGAGGAGAAGAGAAACCAAGAGTGGAGCCAGGTCCAGATGGGGGCAATTTCCCCTGTGCAGTATGTTCTTAGGGTCAAAGAGGGGAAAAGGCTCCTTTTTGCCAGAAAAGGAGTGGGAAGAAAAGGGGGGGGGTGGTAAATAAGGGATTTTAATGTATAGGGGAAGGGAAGGGGGGTAGTGGGTTGTGCACTTTTCTCTTACCCCATAGCCTCAATTTATAAGGGGAGGGGGGAGAGAGAAGGATAAAGATTTCCAGTTGCATTGAACAGAGCTTTTAGATTAAGGGGAGGAATAAAAGGCAAAAAAGTAGAAGGGTTAAAAAAAAAAAAAAAAAAACCCAAAAAAAAACAACCAGCGTAGCAGCTGATTCCTCTAACCCAACCCACTAATGAACACTGAACTGAAAGGAAGTGGTACTGGGGTGGGGGGCAGGGGAGGCAGGGAGGGAGGGCACAGAGGCGAGCGACCTCCCTCCAGCCACTTCAGAGATGACAGTAAATTTTGAGCAACTAAGGAGTAAGAGTCACACCACTCACTCCTCCCATATTTTGAGATTCATCAGAACAGGATTTTTGCAAAATCCCAACCATATACTATTGAGCAAAAGCTGAATGGCTGAAATCAGAGGCTCTACCAATTCCCAACAGAGAATCTGAGGTTCTCTAGGTCACCTCTCCTTTCTGCTATTTAGGGCCAATAGTGGGTAAGAAAGCAACAAAATATAATTTGCAAAATCATGAAAATGAGACCGCAGAGGCAAAGAAAGGCACATGGAAGGGAAGGAGGAGATGCACCCCAGGCCAAAGGCACAAAGATGAGGCAAATCCAGGGGCGATCTCTACCTTTTAAGGGTAAAGGGGGTGGGAATATGTACATCAAGTCCTTTTGTCAGCCAACCAATCCAGGGAAGAGGCAAGGAGGGAAGGGCTATAAGGGTAGGAAAGGAGACGTAAGGGCAGGGGGAAGCCAACTTCAAAGCTTCCTGCCAGTTTCAGACTAACTGATTCATGTACATTCCTACTAACTCCTCTTAGAGGTTCTTCTCCTCCCCAGAAGACATCTTTCTGCTCCTTCTCACCCAAAAAGTCTTCCTTGATACATTCTCCTCTTTCTACAGCCTCTTGCAAATGGCCAGGCCAAGTCAGCAGACATTATCACAGGATGGAAGAGGAAGATTAAGGACAGCCTCAGTAAGGGGCAACGGCAGCAGCCCAGGTTGTCATGAGGCTTGGAGAAGAGATGGAGTCTGTAGGTCCATGATGGTCCCTGCCCTGGAGATGAGGAGAGCAAGGTTTCTTAATCTCAGTTCTAGAAGACCTTCACTTACTCAAGGGCCCTTGCCAGGTGGAATGTGCCAATGTTGCCAGCCTTCTTTTAATCAAAAATAGTCATTGGAGTAAGGGAAGAGCTCACACTTCCCATTCTGCAAAAAAATAAAAGTCCCTTCCCCACCAGGGAAAAAAATCTTGATTAAGAATTATCAGTTTATCAGAGTGCTGGACACTGCATATACTGCATGTAACTTCCAATTCGTCCCATGGCTTCCAGTGAGGACTCCCACTTGCTCCCTCCCTCCATACAAGGCCAAGAGTCCCAGAGAGACCTGGTAAAAAGAGCTAATCTGCAGCAGTTTCTCGAAATATGCATATAACTGAGTCAGGCTTCTTGGGAGCAACTGGAGGGGATCTGCAGGGGGTAGGAGGGACAATTAAGCTTCACTGGAACAAGTTAGGAGTTGGTGGAAAGAAGGCGGCCACTTAGGGCTAGAAGGGCAGGAGGCAGCCTGGCAGTTGGCACAATAGTCCAGCGAAGAAAGGGAAAAATCATCAGTCCATTTCGCCACCAAAAAATAAAAGTACATATATTATAAGCTCAGATGTAGCGGAGATAGTGGTGCTAAATCTTCTGCTGTAGGGAAAAAAAAGAGAAAGAGATGTTAATAGGATTGGGAATGAGGAGAACCAAACGATAGTTGAGCAAATCTGGAGGGAGGAAAGTAGCACATAATGGAGAATCTGATCACCAGAGGCATGTCCCAGCCTTGTAAGAGGCAACAATCACAAAAGCAGCACCCCCCCCAAGCTCCAAGTGGCTGAGACTAGGGTCTCTGGCCTGATCAGATCAGCATGATTGGCAAACTGCCAGCACACAGGGGCCTCCTTCCTCAAGATGATCTTGTGGGAGGCTGGAGGACATACCATGGAGGGGTTAGACACTTGGTCCCCCTCATCATCCAAAACCAACACATCCAACTCTTCCTCCAGAGATTCCTGCCCCTCGTCCTGCTGTGAACACATGCAATTTGTTAGTAAGTAAGGAAACAGAAACCTCATGAGTGTGTGCCAGATCTAAGGAAAAATCCCCAAACTGGTCAACTCAAACAAAACAAGAGAATAGTACGAAAAGGGCAAGATATTTGAGAAAAGGCAGGGACAGGACAAGAGTAATGTATGAGAATACATCGATCAGCATTAGTCACATTTATTGTCTACCTTCCCCTAACCTGACCGTCGTAGAATGACCCAAGAAATCCCAACGTGAGTCAAAACTCCTACTTTACCTGAAAACCCCTACCAGGAAAGGATACTGTCTTTCACCAGGTACTTTTTTTTCCTATATCTCAAAACATGGAGGTTTCAAAACAGAACTAGCCTTAGAAGGACAATAGTATATAAAAGAGAATTTACCATCAGGGGTGTTCCCTTCAACGGCTCCATTTCACCTAGATCCCCAGATCGATCCAGTGTTCTGTTGTGGTCCCCTCTCTCGTTCAGTGTGGAATAGTTGTTATCTAACGAAAAAAGTACAACAGGATAGTCCCCTCTTGTGTACACTATATATTAAGCAGAGAAGTTGAATTAGGCACCGCTGTTGGGAAGTAAACTTTGTCAAATGTTCCAGAAAGGCATTAAGGTCTCGTCCTTGACTTAAAGTCCCGGACTTAAACAGAACTTGTAGGACATAGGATAATAAGCTAAACAGAAGCAAGCTGTCTATAAATGGTACTGGAATTAAGAGGAGAGACAGTAAGGGGTGGTGCCAATAGTCAGGAAGGACCTAACAAAGGAGACAGGACTTAATTAAGGCTTTGGAGATGAAGATAATTTAGCAAAACAAAGGGGAAGGGCATTCCAATAAGAGGTTATTACCTGAACAAAACCAAAAGAGTATAAAGACAAAATAGCAAATTAGACCGGGGGGGCGGGGTTTGAAACAGAGTACATGGAAGGAAAATGGTGAGGGAGCCTGGGGCCAGCTGGTGAAAGGCTTTAACAATTTAAGGACCCACAATTGATATTGTAGTAAGTAGGGGTGGGGATAGAGAATGATTTTTTTTTAAACCTTTGCATATGTGGGAATGTAGAAGAAAGTAGATAGATGAAGTTTCACTATATCTCTTCCTATCCTTACAAATGGAAATGTCCAGCCAATGAATGCTCTCCCAGGATAAGAAATGGTGAAGGTGCTAGAAAAAAACCACAAGGCCAGACAGTTCTCATCCCAGTGAAATATTACTCCATGTCCTCAGGCAGGAATTAATCACCTACCTAATGACTTTGTGTTTGATCCCATACTGCTCATCTGAATTTCTTCCCGATCAGGTTTCTTATCTATACGGAGTCAGAAAGTTATCCAGGTCAAAAACCAACTCTTCAAATTCTATACTCATCATAAAAATTGCTCTCTGGTTCGTCCTCCTTCTCTTTCATCAAATTTTTACTGAGCACCCGCTATGTGCCAGAGAGTAGACAAAGCCCTCATGGGCCTTAAAGAGATCCCTTTCCAAAAGACTCCTAGTGTAAGAAACCATTCACTCTAAGCCAGCAATTATCAAATTATTTGGTCTCCAGACCCCTTTTAGTCTTAAAAATTATTAAGAACCAAAAAGCATTCATTGGTATAAGCCATATGCATTACTATTTTACTGAACTGAGAGATTAATACTTATTTCACTTAAAAGTAACAAGAAAGTTATTCCATGTCAACATAAAACTTTTAATGTTTTAGAAAAGCAGGTTTTTGTTGTTTTTTTCTTTTTTTTTACATTTTTGCATATCTTTTTCAAGTTTGGCTTAATAGAAGACAGCTGGATTCTCATATCCACTTCTACATTCAATCTACTGTGACATAATTTTAGTTGAAGTATAGGAAGAAAATCCAGCCTCCCACAGATAAAACACTGGAAAAAGGACAATTTTAACAATCTTTTCAGGTAACTGTAGATATTCTTTGATAGTATACTAACACTCAACAAGTACGGTTCCTCTAAGGTTAGCAACATATGGAACCTGAATCCAAATGAATGATCTCCTCATACTTCATTAAATTAAAATGCACTGGTCTGTCCTGAACTTTGACTGGGTCAATTACCTATGTATGCTTCTGAAACATCACGCATTGATCACTTGGAAAATACTGGTTCACAGAGTAAAAGGCAGATCTACACATTAACACATTTCATTATACAACATCAAAAAACCAAGTCACATTCATTACTATTATCACTGATTTCAATAAAAAATATTTAAGTATTGGGGTGTTACCAGGCTCATAATGGCAGGTGTAAGTTTGCCAAAGTTATCTTTTTGGGGGCGCCTGGATGGCTCAGTGGTTTAAGCCTCTGCCTTCAGCTCAGGTGATCCCAGGGTCCTGGGGATCGAACCCTGCATTGGGCTCTCTGCTCAGCAGTGAGCCTGCTTCCCCCTTTCTCATGGCCTACCTCTCTGCCTACTTGTGATCTCTGTCAAATAAATAAATAAAAATCTTTAAAAAAAAAAAAAAGTTATCACTTTTACTTGAAAATTCGGGCAACAATTACGGTCACTTATTTTTCCTCAAAGTGACAAGCTCACTGCATTCATTTTTGAGAAAAATATCTAGCAAATATCCAAGTCTGAATAGGTGTAGTTGGTCTTTCCTTCTCCCCCCCCCCACCAAGGAAAAATGAGAGTCCATAAAAAGTGGCTAGTACACTTGGAAACTCCTACTATATCAACCATCATGCTCTGTATGCAGCACAGGATCTTTCAAGAAGATGCATACTCAAGGTTAGAAAAAGTAAAATTAATTTTTACAGCTCCATCAAGTATATTCTTAAATGACACCAGCTCTTTTTTTTTTTTTTTTTTAAAGTTGTGAGTCCACAGCAATAGAGACTGCGATGACTGATGTGGCCTGGCGTCACTGCCAGTGTGCACCACCAGGGCTTTGACACAACTGGCACAAAAGTCAACAGACATGGGGATGGATCCTCACACCACATTTCAAGAGCCCTGACTGAGGCAAAAGCCAAGTGTCATCAAGAAAATAAGAGTTACAATATACAATTCCATGAAAAAGAAAACATTTCATAAAACAAAATATATAATTCATCTTTTGGGAAAAAATGTATTTGCCCAGATGGCAAAAAATAAAACCACAAAGAGCAGCAGTTATCTCTGGGTAATAGAAGTAAGTGGTTTTGTTGTTGTTATTTTTCTGGTTGTCTGTATTTTCTAGTTTTCAACAGCCCATAATGTTACCTGGTATTACATGGGAATTGAAAAAGCAAGAAATAATCATTAGGCAACATATACATATATCAAATCATTGTGTTGTACACCTTGCATTTATACAATGACAGATGTCTGTTCTCTCTCAAAGAGAGAATTAGGTGAGACTAGGGTTCACTGCCCTATCACTGTAACCCTGCAAGCAAGGACAGAGAATCCCACCCGGGCTCCTGCCTTGGACAATCCCCAGGTGAAGTATTATTACCCTCATTCAGTAATAAATATATATTCTATTCCTCAGGCAGTCTGCCCACTGAAGAACAGCAGTGGTGGGATAAAAGGGGTATGCCCCCTGGATACTGTACCTGTTTTCTGGTTCCGGTCAATGAGAGGGAGAGTGCTGTCATCATATGAATGACTGCTCTGGCTTCGAGAAGCGTTGTTTAGATTCACCTGGAGGCAAACATAAAATGCAACAACGTCAGAGAATACTGAATTCACCCACATCTTATTCCCCAGTGGGCACACACCATTAGGACCCTATTCTCAAATACAACTCTTACCGAAAGACCGAAAGAGAACTCACACAGGTTAAAGAAACACCTATATAGTGAAACAATCTAGGATGTTACAGCTTCTATTTACGTTCCTGATGGTGTTCAGGAGGCGACAGAGGGACCAAACACTCATACTATCAGAAGGTGACACAGTCTCTGGCAAATTCCTTCAAAGGGCTATGGCAGATTTGGGGCAAAGTCAAAAAGGCCACCTTCCTCCGTCACGACCAGCACTGACAGCATGCTGTGATGTAGAGGAAAACTGCAGCTGTTTGGGCAGCAAATGAAACGTAGGCACCACTCTTTTGGGAAGGAGGGGTAAGCCCAATGATTTCCTCACTAAGAGAGACTTGGGATAAAGTAGGACTTTTTGTGACAATAAAGCAGAAGAAACCAAAGACAGAGTGGTACATGAGACCCAGGACAAAAAAAGTACATGCCTAAGGCCCCAGAGCTGCTCTACCTGGAAGTCTGATTTCTTCCATCCTTCTTTTTCCAGTGGCTTCCGTAGTTCCTTATAGCCCCAGATTGTCTGTAATACAAGTGCTGCTGCTCGGACTTCTTTTTCTGAACGGTTCCTTTTGAGAAAAGTTAACACCACATGAATTTGGACGTTAAGACAAGGGAAGAAGCTGAGAACCTGTATTCTCTAATACAATGTCACACTAGAAATGCCAAAATGGGCAGGAGAAAGTATTCACCAAGCTCTGTATTCTGTCCCCACCACTGACACACACACAAAAAACGTTTGATGGAAAAGCAGGTTATCGATTGATAGCTCAACATCAAGACAAAAAACAGAGCAGTATCTCTTCATCCTTTACATATAAAAAAGGGAAAATAACCTTAGAAAGCAAAAGGGGAGCACTCCTTCCTAGCAACTCCCCCCTCTCACACTCAAACTCTTCCAGTTGTCATTTTGCGCATTAAACTCACCCTGATTTGTTGATCAACACCAGCTTCTCAATGCCCTGCGTCTCTCGAAGCTTTTTGGCAGCTTCCAAGTTCTCAGCAATAACCTCATTGATGGTGTTCAAGAGAGAGACCACGGTGTCCTCAGAGAAATTCTGGGAAGAGCTCTGCTGCCCTCCTGGCAGATTCTTTACCAAGTTGGGAATAGCATGTTTACCTATAGCATTAGACGAAACGAATGTGCGCAGGGAGAACAAGCCAGGTTCAGCTATAAGGAGCCCAAGACTACACTTAACTACACTGATCACTGAAAATGAGGTACTGTCCCCAGGAATCAACTTCATTCTGCTATAGTATTATCATACCAGAGGAGCAAAGGAGCTGGAATAGCCATGAATCCATGGTCTTTCTTATTCATTTATTCTCTCCTCTAGTCACACTGAAACAACATGAATACTTTATATCAAATATGCTAGTTTTTTCAGGTAGTCTAATGAAGACAGTATACATATTTAAATTGTAATAGTTCAATAAAATAGTCGTTATGAATTTAACAAAAAACTGGGCTCTGCCACAGCCCACCTATATAACTCTGGACAAATTACGTTAAGTTCTTTCCTGGGCCTTTTTCCTTATTCTATAAAAAACTTGACCTCTGGGGCACCTGGGTGGCTCAGTGGGTTAAAACCTCTGCCTTCAGCTCAGGTCATGATCCCAGGGTCCTGGGATCAAGCCCCACATCGGATTCTCTGCTCAGTGGGGAGTCCGCTTCCTCCACTCTCTCTCTCTCTCTGCCTGCCTCTCCGCCTACTTGTGATCTCTGTCAAGTAAATAAATAAAATATTAAAAAAAAAAAACCAAAAAACTGGACCTCTGTAAAGAGGTCATGATCAATAAGAATGTGTGGAATTATTAACAATGCCTACTAACAAAGGACATGTTTTTTTTTTTTTTTTTTTTTCCAAAATTTATTTGACAGACAGAAATCACAAGTAGGCAGAGAGGCAGGCAGAGAGAGAGGAGGAAGCAGTCTCCCCGCTGAGCAGAGAGTCCGATGCAGGGCTCGATCCCAGGACCCTGGGATCATGACCTGAGCCAAAGGCAGAGGCTTTAACCCACTGAGCCACCCAGGTGCCCCAAAGGACATGCTTATTAAATAAAGCTGTTTCTGTTCTGTTTTTGAAGAGTCATCACTTCTTATCTTACTAAGAATGATTAAACTAGAATGCTTGGAGTTGCAAACTACAGAGAGCTACTGGGATCCCTCCTCTGTCGTTTCAGTCATAAACTAAACAGCATCAGCTAGATGAAAGGCTCTGTACTAGATGCTGAACAAATGGTTCACATCCAACTCTTTACCAATGAGCTCTTTGTTGCGGGCATCCACAGCCAGATTTCTCAGTGCTCCAGACGCAGCTTTCACTACACGCTCATGTTCATTGGTCAGGAGGTCGGCGATGGCAGAAAGAGCCTTCTCTTGACGCAGAGCAGAGCGAATATATCGACCATACTAGAAATTAACACATGGAAAGAGGTGGAACAGATTACAAATGGCGGCAAACTAGTTAGCTGAGTTCTTCCACCCCTAAATCCATTTTCTAAAAGGTACTCACTGTCCAGCGTCCAGCACACAAGTTCTGGATAGCTCCAGCTGAGGCTTCTAGGATGGCAGGAGTCTTGCTCTCCTTGAGGAGTGAGATATATATCCGAACCACCTCTGGTTGAAATAAAAGCTCATAGCCTGCACAAGAAAGGACAGAAAAACAGAGAAAGCTAGTCAGTACCTACATGCCAGGCTCTGGCTGGTTGAAGTCCAGCTTCAATACTCTGGATTGACGGATTTATGCTCCTGTACCATCAGGCTTCCTATACTTTCCCACCTACCCAACAGCCAACTCAGAGTCTTGAGTCCATGCCTTCTTAAGAATAATTCATCCATGGTAGGAGAAGAACAGACATCAACTCATCATATGCAACTCCTCTCTCTCCTCTTTCACAGTTTACTTTGGCCTTGACATTCGGGGGATTCATTTGCCCATTGACAGCACTCAGGATTACAGATTCCTCGTCTCAAATGATTTGTTTCTAACTTAACTGAGTCATTCTGACCCCTCCCTTTACTATGATTAAGTAAAAGGGCCTATCCTAGATTTAACAACATGTAAAGTTTTTATATCCATGAAGAGCTATGAATTTTAAACCCACTATACTGATAAATATAAACACCCAAACTGTGAGAAAGAGGCTTCTTAAAACAGGTAATGACTAAGAACTATAGTGGATACCTAGGGCACCTACATTTCTGGCCTGGACTGCCATCAGGACCTTACCCACCCTCCAATAATCTGAAAAGTTGCCAAAACAAGTCCTTCATAAGTTACTGCTACAATACCAGTTTCTCAATGCTTCACCATCACTCCACATCCAGAGTTGGAGGAAAGAGAACAGTGATCATACTGCACAGTCTACAGTTAGGCTACCTGATACTCATCTGTGGACTATGTGTATGAGACTCCTGGAGACTAAAAATAAAAAGATTAACTTACCTCGAGCTGGACTAGTTCTTTTAGGGAAATCCACTGTATCATTTGCTGGATCCTCTGTGGGTTTTTTCCCTTTGGAAATTAAAAAAAGGACAGAGAGGTAAAGTTTGAGAAAGGAAAGAGTCCATTTAGTGCACTTTTTACTCTTCAGTCAAAATCTTTTTGGATCAGAGATGCACTGACGCGGGGCAGGGGTGGGGGAGAGACACCAAAAAGAAGAAAACAGAAAACCAAGCTCCCCTCCCCCATCCCAGCAAAGGGCTGCGCAGAAACAAGGACAGAAAACAGGCAGCAGACAAGTAAGATGAGGATAAGCACCGTTGTCGCTGTGGTCCTGAGGTCTGGTAACTGGGACTGCTGCCCAGGAATAGCATGCCATGAGCCATTGGCTCCAAAGAGCTGAACTTGTTTCAGTGGTCTTCCTCAAATGAATTTTCCTACATGCATCCATAGGGAAGGGTTAGGAAATACTAGAGAAGCTAAAACCAAAGCATGCAAATTAGAAGTAGGGAAGTGCCTTAAAAGATTCCACTCACCTCTGGAGAACCACTCATCTTCCAGTGCGTCACCCAAGATGGAAAGCAGAAAGAAAGGAAGGAAGAAAAATGCAGGAGAGTGATGTCAACAGGATCATGGGCAAGTAAGTAGGAAAGCAGGGAGAAAAAGAAAAACACAGAAAACACAGAGGAGGAATGGGGGAGAAGGCCCCAGATTAGTTGAGTTCTCGTCCTTTGCTGCCCCCAAACTGATACCAGTACCACCACCACCACCATCATCACCACCTTGAATGAAGCACATGACACAGGGAAGCAGCTGCAGAGCAAGGAGACATCCTTGACTAGGCAGACTCACATACCACTCAGCAAGTATTTTGTACCTAAAGCTAAAAGTGTTCCTTCCCCTTCCTGTCCTACATTAAAGAGCAAGGAACAACGAACCAAGACTCACCTTTGCCCTTCTTGGCCCCAAAGCAACTGGCACCATGTGGCCCAGTATTGTTGGCAACATTGGGAGGTGCCTCTTGGTAACGCTCTGCCTGTGGGATCTCCCGGTGAACTTGATACGACAAATTCCGAAGAAGGCAAACGCAGTTCTCCACAAGCTTGGGAACACAAGATAGAGGGCTTAGTGAACAAGGAGAACGTCTATCGTGATTTCCCAGCAAGAACAGGTTTCCCTGATTCAAGTATTAAAATACTGATCCCCAAAAAGCATAGCCCCATCCATTATCATTCACAAAGACTCTTATGTGCGCCAAGCTTCTCAAAATCCTTGCAGCCTCAGACTAATGAAGGTTTCTGCCACCATTTGGTGTGTGACACAAAACTGAGGATCACCCTGACTTTTTCCTACTTAGGAAAATATATAACCTTGGAAATACAGCTACAAAGCTTTAAGATAGAGGATATAGGTAGAAGAAATTCGAAAGAAAACTGTTTTCTTCTAAGGTGAACATCTACTTTAGGGAGCAGGGGTTGGTATAGATACCTAATGTCCCTTAAAAGCCTGAGATGGTGAGGTCTGCATGACAAGTACCTTCATGGCTGCTGTGCCTGGAATTCACTCAGCCATTAACTTACCTTGCTATCTGAGTCCTTCTGCCCAATCTCAGCCTGAACAATGAAAATGAGGGCATCCACTAAACCATCACATTCACGAAGTTTCCGGCGAGCTTCACTCCTCTCTGAGCTGACGTTCCTGAGGGGGAAGGGAGAAGCTTCAAGAAGACTCCAATCTACAAACCCTCCCTTAGTATCTTCAACATCTACAAGCCTCCTCCGTACTTTTTCTTTTTACTGTAACAGTTAGTGAGTACTTGTTACAAACAAGGTACTGCAGTTGAGAGAAAGCTGAGTAAGACAACTCTTCTTCCAGGACATTTATAACAAGGTCAGGGGGTGGGGGGTGAGGGGATGACACACACCTAGGGAGGGTCTAAATAAGGTAAACCAACAATACTTTAAGATCAGACGGATACTTCTTGCACAGGAAGTACAAATGAAGAAAGGGGCAGAGCACGCACGGGTATACGCCAAAGAGAGAAAGACTATATTGTAGCATTTATAGGATTTAGGAAGAAATCAGAAAAACTTGCATGAAATACAGGCACTTTTGAGTTTAGCCTCAAAAGATAAATAAGGAGGGGCGCCTGCCTGGCTCATGTGGTAGAGTATGCAACTCCAGATCTCAAGGTCTTAAGTTTGGGTGTAGAGATTACTTAAAATCCTTTAAAAAAAAAAAAAAAAAAAAGGTAAAGAGACAAGGGCACTGTAGCCTGAAGAAAGAATATCTCTCCCCCGACACCACCACCCTTCTAGTACTGTGTTCCTCCTACTGCATTTGTCACAGCTTTACTTGAAATACAGGTCACTGAGGACACACTCAGGCTCAAGACTAGACAACTGCCTTACATGTGGTAGATACTGAACAGAGGCTCACTGAATTAAATGAACAAAGTCAAAGAGACACAGAAGTGAGGATGTGCAGGGGAACAAGTAAACCAACATAGCAAATATATGTGCACACAAGCAAGTAGTGACAAAGGTAAGACAGGCTAGAGTCACAGTATACAATACGGACGGGAATGGAAGCTGAAGGACAGGCCAAAGAATTAAAAAAGAATTTCTTTTGTAAACTTAAGTCAGTCAAAAATTCAATCTTCCTATTCTTGAAGCCCTTATGTTACCTAAGACAGCCAGCTGTGTTGGTGAGTACCGATTCCCACTCAATATGGCGCGGCTTACAATCTTCATTGGGTTCCCGCTCCCAACCAGAATGTGGGATGATCACTTCATCTGTCAATGCATGCAGTGCATGGTCCACAATCTCCATCTTGATTGAGTCATGGGATGAGAGATTCCACAGGGTTCCTGGCAGAGACAACCCATCAGATACCTCTCTAACACCCAAGACAGTATGTTTGAAGAATGCCAAAGAGAATCCCTTATTCCATCATTTCTCGGTCTTCCCCAATGACCAAATACCTTGTAATGGTATTCAAGCTTTTGTTTGTGACCCATGATAAGAAATATACATTACGGCTCAACATATATATACATATGTGTACATCATGAAACAAAAGTTTCATAAAACAATACTTACTATTTATAAGCAATGTTCTCTGGGTTATCCACACCAGAGTTTCTCAACCTCATTAACACTGACCCCTTGGGCCAGATATTTCTTTGCTGTGGCAAGCTGACCTATCCATTATTAGATTTTGAGCAGTATCTATGCCCTTTACTCCTTAAATGCTGGTACCACTCCCTCCTGCCCAAGCCAAGTTATGACAACCAAAACTGTCCCCAGACATTGCAAATGTCCCCTAGCGGGCAAGACCAGTCCTGAGAACTAATAATCTATTCCACTTCTTGTTCTTTCTTCCTCTTGAAATACTGACTGGGATCCACAACTGTGTTCAATACACACTAATGGATCACAACCCACAATATGAAAAACCACTCTTCAAAGCAAGGATCACAAGCTCAAGTATCTACACATGTCAGGCAGGTGCGTCACGACAAGCAGATATTTAAAAGAAATTACAAGAGAGTGGAAAAATAGCAAAAGACACTCAGCTTCAGTGCTGGGGAGACAACTTGTTATATGGCAGTAGTTGGCAAAAAGCTTCAGGATTACTACAAATGGGAGAACACGCCTACCAGTCAGCTCAGACTAACCACTGTCAGGTAGCAAAACAGATCCATTGTTGCCAGTTCCCACACATTTTTAATAGAAGCCAAACAAGCTGCAATTTTAAATGAAATCTTCTGAGTTTTAAATATCAGCAAGCAATTCTCTGAAATTTTGAACACTTTGCGTGATCCAAAAATCAGGGAGATGAATCTGCCCCCAAAGACCACCAGTTCACAAACTTAAGTCAAAAGTAAAAGGGCTGGGGGCACCTGGGTGGCTCAGTGGGTTAAAGCCTCTGCCTTCAGCTCAGGTCATGATCCCAGGGTCCTGGGATCGAGCCCCGCGTCGGGCTTCTCTGCTCTGCAGGGAGCCTGCCTCCCCCTCTCTCTCTGCCTGCCTCTCTGCCTACTTGTGATCTCTGTCTGTCAAATAAATAAATAAAAAATCTAAAAAAAAAAATAAATAAATAAAGTAAAAGGGCTGAAAGTCCTTCTAGCTCTCAACATCTCTACGGGTCACAGTAACCCCAACCCAGCAGCTGCCCTTGTGCCCATAACTCACCGGTGATAACTTCAGTGAGATCCATATCCCGAGCCTTTCGAAGCAATCGCACAAGTGCAGGAACACCATCACAGTTTTTTATGGCGATCTTGTTATCCTGGTCACGCCCAAAAGAGATATTCTTGAGAGCTCCACAGGCTCCAAGGTGCACTTCCTTTTTGGGGTGGTCTAACAATCCCACAAGTACTGGGATCCCCTTGAGCTTCCGAACGTCGGTCTTCACCTTGTCATTGCGATAGCACAAGTGCTGCAGGTATGCAGCTGCATTAGACTTGACAGCATCCAAGCGGAATCCTAACATGGCGATCACCTCCGGCAGCTCTGGCTGTCTCCAGCTGTGAGGCGGGGGCCCCCCCTTACGCAGGCTATCCAAGCTTGCTAAACTTCCCCGTTCATGCTGGGCCAGAGGAGCCCAATAGTACTGGTCCGATGGCACCTCCTCACCAATCATGTCTTCATAGCTCCTGCAGTGTTGGAAGAACCAAAAGGAAAAGAATACATCAAGTTGTCGAGTCTGGTTTCGTGGAGAGCTCCCATGACCCCTCACCTCCAAGGCAGGAGGCAGGAGTAACTTCAACTCTAGCACACTACATCTTACCTGTCCTTTGTAAATGATATACTGATCAATTTTTCGTAAGGAGATAAGGGAATAATTTTAAAGGCATCTGCAGTTAGATTAAAACTACATTTTGTCCTGTCAAGTTTACTAGCTCGGAGGAGAGTAACAAGCATTCAGAGACGTTAATCACAAAAAGAACCAAATCCTGACTGCTTAGCACTAAAATGATACCTGACAGCTAAGCTCTCTGGATAGTGACTGAAATAAACCTTCAGAAGACAGAGTTAAACCAAAGAAGTCAGCAAACAATGTCTGAGAACAACTCTTACAAGCCTTCGGCTAAACAGGAAAATGTGGCATTTACACACAGGAAACAGCTGCTGGGATTAGACCCTTAAACACATTTTATTTAAGCCTCTCCTTATCTTATTTTGGAAATTATAAAAGAGGAGGTAATAAGAGTAAAAAGAGTACAGGCCTTCGTGCTACACCGAAGGGGGACCTGGCTTTAGTAGAAGCTTGAACATTAATTTTCACAGTTCATCCCAACGTCATCTCTGCTACTCAACAAACGTGTTCCAGATAATGATTGCCAGCCTCCAATTTCTACAGATGACAATACCTTGGATTCTGTCGAAACAGAGGCTACTGAACACCACAGCATTTGGGATAACCAATGACTAAGAAAAAGAACAAAATAAGCAAGGGAAGGCTTAGAGAAAAGTCCCACTGGAGAGAATTCTTCCTATTTCAGTACTACTAGCAACCACTAGAGGGTGAATCTGTCACACTATTATTTATTCATAACCACCAGGAAGGAAGAGACCCATTATCTGCGAGCTCATCTCACCCTCTGGCTCCCGTAGGAGAGAGGAGAATCTATTGTGTGGAACTCTCCAAATAAGCCTGTTGTTTGTTCCACAAAACCCCTCCCACTGTCACCAAACCCTGAAAGTTAGCTGCAGCAGAGGCCCTGCCTCAGAGCTGTCAACATCAACCACTCAACAGCAACTCAGATGGACAAGGCATTAGTAAAAATCCCTATTTTCAAATATCATTGCAACAAAGTGAGCAGGTTATAGCTAAGCTTTAAAAGGAGGCTACTGAACAGTAATGTGAAGGAAGATTCCATTTTAGTAGGGGAAAAATAAGATCAGAGTATGTTGAGTATGTCCACCTGCATAGGAAAAAAAGAAATCAAAGCAAATGCACCAAAATGTTAACCAAAGTTCTTTCTCTATGGCCGGAGTGCCTTTCTACATTTTTATAGTTTTGTAGTGAGCACGTCTTACTTTCATTATTGTTTTAGTATAAGCAATTACAAAAACAATCGCCATAACCAAGATTTTGGTCACTCAGTTGTATTTCCTTCTTTTATAAGCAGGGAATCATGACATTCTTTCCTTTGTTTTACAAATAACAAAGCTGTGCCCAGAAAGATTAAATGACTTGCTTGAGGCTATATAGCTAGTGGCAAAGGCACAACTAGAACCAGAAGTCTTCTGGTTCAGTGCTTTATCCACTAATTATTCTGCCTTACTGTTTCCGTTTGACCTTGTATTACTCTCCAAGGCCTGGAACAGGAAGCAGCTAATGTTTCTGCTAGTCAAGCAGGTTTCCAAGTCCAGTGCCACCCTGGAATGGACCCAAGAACCAGGCCCAAATATGCTCTCTTTTTATGTCAGTTGCCACAGTAGAGAATGATCTGTCCACCCACAACCACCTAGGTCTAATCACTCTACTAATGAGGAAGTCCGAAAAGCAGACTTGTTTCAAGCAGACGGGCCAACGCCCTGGGCAGACTCCTTTGGTGATAGCTGTTACCTACCACTGCTTCAAGTTGCACCAGGTGAAGTCTGCTGCTCACCCCACTGCCCCCTACCCCAATAGAAGGTGAGTCACATGGGAGTTGGACTAGCTGTCCACATGATACAATACCTAAAAGGTGAATGACTCAGGCTGAGATAATGCAGCCTCTAACCTGGGCCCAGCCCAGTTCACTACTAACTAAGCTACCTAATATGAGGAAAACGAGCACCAAGGCATTTGCTTTAGAAGGTTATGACCCCATACAGAAATTCAACAATAGCTGCTAGGTTATCCTTACTACGAAGACATCCATAAATCTTCTCCTTTATTTCTTATTATTTTTCCTTGCCTGGAAAACACTATGTCTGTGATTTATCATAAAGCAGGGCTGACAACCCATGCGCCAAACCTGTTCTTCTACAGTCCCAGAGCTAAAAAGGGGTTTTTATATTTTTAAAAGGTTGTAAAAGGAGAACAACAACATTAAAATATATACATATTATATATATATATATGGCCTGCAAAACCTATTAAAAAAGTTCTGCCTGGTCCTTTACAGAAAAGGTTTGCCAACCCCTATTCCAAAGCATTCTTTCAAGGCAAACCTTCTACCAGCCCAAACATCAATCACTCCCTTTTACGTATCACCAAAGAATCCCCAGGGATGAGTAGCAAAGTCAGAACAGGCAGCTGCTAAGCAACCTTTCAGAATGTCACTTATATACCACCCTCAAAGGATGCCACCCCCATTTCACTTTATAATCAAAGGTAAAAACCAAAACACGAAGTGTCAGGGCTTTGGTGAGATCAAGGTTTGTTTTTAACTTGAAACTAAAATCACCACTGGGAGGGTTCTCACGTATACCCTTAACTATCCACTCTGGCCCTGAAAGCCAAAAACCCTCAATTCTCTCTTATTACCAAACCAAATGCTAAAGAAATTCATAGGAGCAAGGCAGTATCCCATAGCCCCAAAGCACCAAGCTCCCTTGTGCAGCTGCCTATCACCAAAAAGCCAGATCTTGGGCAGAAACAGCGGCAACTCTTGGCATGGAAGCAAAGGCCACTCTTCAGGATGTAGACCAATAACCACAAGTCATTATCTATAAATAATTAGAATATAGGATTTTCATCATGAAAAAGACAAAAAAGCAAGTCAGTATCTGGTAAAGTCACAAAAGGGAAGACACTGTCTCAGATTCAAAAAAGCACTTAGAAGGAGAAGGAATAGCTACCCCTTATCTCTGTCTTGGTTTAAGACCCTTGCCTTCCCCTTTTCTTCCCTACCTGAGTCGTCGGCGAGGGTCAGAGGGCGTCCCAGTCCGACGGGCAGTGCCATAATCGGACATCATGCCATAATCCAGATCATCATAGCCCATGCTACGCTGGTCATCTTCTAGCCCATAAGGCTCTGGGTGAAAACGATGCAGATCCACACTGCTCCCACCTACCCGAACTTGGGGCTGGGGCCCATACACATCCTGTCTACTAGGTGCCCGATAACCTTCCATGCTGGGCCTGTACCGCTCCTCAATGCGGGTCACCCGGGACAGACTGCCATAGTTGTCACTGCTACTTGGATAACCATCTTCATAGTGGCGGCTATATCCATCGGGAGGGTAGTGGAAGTTCCTGGGAAGGGTAGCAGTGCCTGCTTGCCCAACGTAGGGACCAGGTCCCCCATTGCCATTCTTGCGGAAGTCACGCCCCAGAGTCTGGATATAGTTGTTAGAAACTGATGAGGCATCCACAGGCAGCCCATCTGGTCCCACAGGGACTGGCTGTACTGTCCGTGTTGTCACAGTCTTCACAACTTTCTTGACCTTCACATAAGGAAAGAGAAAAGCGTGAATAATATAAGCCTCGATTCTAGACCTCTTTTTTTTTTTTTTTAAGATTTTATTTATTTATTTGACAGAGGGAGACACAGCAAGAGAGGGAATACAAGCAGGAGGAGTGGGAGAGGGAGAAGCAGGCTTCCTGCCGAGCAGGGAGCCCGATATGGGGCTCGATCCCAGGATGCTGGGATCATGACCTGAGCTGAAGGCAGAGGCTTAACCCACTGAGCCACCCAGACACCCCCTCCCCTTTTTTTTTTTTTAAAGATTTTATTTATTTATTTCACAGAGATTACAATCAGGCAGAGAGGCAGGCAGAGAGAGAGGGGGGAAGCAGGCTCCCTGCTGAGCAAAGAGCCCAATGCAGTGCTTGATCCCAGAACCCTGGGATCATGACCTGAGCCGAAGGCAGAGGCTTCAACCCACTGAGCCACCCAGGCACCCCAATTCTAGACCTCTCTAAGAAATGAAACAAACCCCTCCCACTACCTCATTTTATCCAGAAATGCCTTACATTTTACCATCTACCTTTCACTCTCTACCTTACAGGAAGTGCCCAGGCAGGAAATCTGTGCTGGCAGTAACTATGCCTATAAGGGAAGCTATTGTAGACCTTGCAGACTTCTCTCTTCCCCATTCCATTCAATTTTCCCATATCTCTTCTATCTTCCCTATCTAGCCAGAGATCACGTTCTTTATGCATTCACTACAGATTGATACTTTCCATCTACCCTAAGTGCTTAATCTCTTCTCCACCACCAAGAAAGACCAAAGGAAGACCTCCTCTATCATCCCAGACCTTATACAAGTCTTAGCTTACTGTGGTCTCTGTGCGCCGAGTAGTTCCATCATCAGAGGTCTCCACAGAGACAACAGACATGGCTCCCTCAGGGTCCTCCTCCGTGTAGGTCCCCACAATCTGCCCTGGCTCCTGCATTCTGGGAATGGTGCTATACACAAGGTGACTGTGATCCTGTATGGAAAGGTGGAAAAGGAAGGAATGACTATTAAGCCATATATATCAATAGTCCAACCCAATGAGAGGTAGTCTCCCTAGAGAGATTCCTCATGCATCTTCCATGGGCCCCAGGATTTTTAGTGGAGTATATGTCCTCACCTTTTGAACTTATACAAAAGAGCAGAAGATGTAAGTCCCCAGTTCTAGTCATTTAACAAATATAAACTGAGTTAACTACAGCCACATCAACACCCAAGTGACAGAGACAGCAGATTTAACTTCCCAGTTCTGGTCATCAAAGTGTCTATGAACTGTGTTAACTGTGGCTACATCTGCATCTGGGTGATCCTTCAAGAAAGAAGTTCACCAGTAAAGAACTTTTAAGATGAACCAGGAAGTCCCCCAAAAAACCCTCTTCTGACTCTGTTACTCTTTAGAAACCGCCTAAGGCTCAAGACCAGTGAGATTTCAGGTAAGAACAGAAGCATGCCCATTCCAGAAAAGGGATGCAGTAACTGAAGGATCAAATACAGGAGCAGTGGCCGTTAAAACTCATTCCAAAATACAACTACGCGTATACACTTATGCTCCACTACTTTATTTTCCTAAATGAAAGAATCTAATTAATGGGTGGGTTCTTACAATGTATCAGGCACTTTGCAAGACACCAATATGCTCTTACAGGCTGGGGAAGTAAGAGAAAAATGAAGCAACCCAGAGCTTGAGCCAAAGACATTACCTGGGGTCCGTTGAGTTTCAGATCTGAAAATTTCTGTCGCTCAAGGTCAGCATCGCCCACAAACCGGCCGTTCTGAAACATAGCCCACAAGAAGACAATTCATTTTGTGGCCCTCCTTTGCTCTATCAAATACAAATGATCTTTTTTCCAAACAGGAAAGGGTTTTCAAATAGGTATTTGTGGCCTGGAGTCCTTCTGTCAAGTACTTATAGAAGAACCACATCACTCCTTAGTTTTAGCACTTTCCTCAAAAGTGGAATTGGGCCTGGAACTGGCAGACTGGGTCTCTGGAACATAAGAAGGTAAGCTCCATGAGGGCAGACATTTTTTCTATTTTTATTTTTGGTCAGTTTTGTTCAATGATATATTTCCAGTACCTTGAACAATGCTTGGCACATAATAGGCACTCAAAATCTATTTGCTGAGTAAACAGCAGAGACTCAGGTAAGTCCTTAAAAATATAAGGAAAGTTAGAAAAGCTAGGTTGGGGAGTTTCCAAAAGCCCTCTTTATTGCTCCATCCATCTTCATGCTCTACTACCACTGGAAACTCCCACATCAGCCAGCTTTTAAAGAGAGACACAAGAGGTAGAGTCTCCCTTTCCTAGTAGGAAGAAAACGAGGACCCCAATTCCCCTCTGCAAAAACAGTTGTCTCAACATCATCATCATCACCAATTTTTAGAGCCACAGAACATAAGCTGCTCTGTTTTGAGCAGCAGGAAATAATCTAACAACATTACACTACGTAAAAATACAGTTGACTGCTCCTCTTCCAATAGGAAACAGTGAGATACAGCCGTGGAAGACTTCCCCCACCCTACTCCTATTACACAGGGAGTGTAATGCTGCAGGGAGAGGAAGTTAAACATTACTTTCAGGAAGAAGGAAAGGTGTGGCTTCGTTGCCGAACAGAAGTTAAAAATAAGAGAGAGAAAGAAAGAAACCTAGTACTAAATTCTGGAATTCCCCACCACCTCCAAGCCTGAGCCGTCCTGCTCTCCCCTTTCAATATATACCGCTCATTGCTAACCCTCTATTCTGATTCCTATAAAAATCCTAGGAACACTGCAAACATACTGCTTCCAAGTCTCCTAAATGGACTTTTGTCCTCTCACGCAATATGCTTCTCAGCATGATGGATCTTCTCTGTCTTAAAAAATAAGTAAGTAATCAATGTAAAGGACTACTGGAGCATAAGCACTGTTGTTAGTTCCCAACCAGAGATCCCTTAAGATGGTGGAATCTACCAGGCAAGGTCTACCCTACACATACACACCCTCAGACAGATTACATCACAGCGAAGTCAGACCAGAGAAACCATAGGAAACACAAGATACTTCTCATTTCTAACACCAACTCCCCCAAGTCACTCAGAGGCAGCCAACCCAGAGACCACTGGCTCCTGTAGTTATCTGGGTTAAATAACAGCACAATGCTCCTTCTCCAGCTCTAACCAACAGAATTAACAGTGATACCCTCCCCACAAGACATGATCTGCAAAGCTAACAAAACAAGCATACAAGGACAATATGGAGCAGGAATATACAATTTATGGATACTGCCACACCTTCTGAGCAGACTCTTCCCTGAGCAAGACTGAACCGGAGCTGAGAGTATAAGATACCCAACCTCACCAACCACTAAGCAGGCATTTACCTTTCTGAATGTTTGATACCAAGTTGAGGGGGAAAATCAGAGAAAACAGAAGGACCTTAGGTACAGCTCCTAACTATATGATTTACCATGACTAGAATTACATCCCAAACCAGAAACCCCACTCCAGCAAAACAGGAAGTCAGACAGATGCTTCTTGAGATACATCTATTCAACTCAGCAGAGCAGCAATATTCCCTATTTCTTACATCAGTACTGGAAAGGAGTACACGGGCACCGGACAGCCCATCACCACAAGGAAAGCAGTTTCCCAAGTAGGATCATAGCCTCTCTATGACCATGCCAAAGTCCTACCTGCAAGTCTGATGGAGAGAGGGGTTACCTGATGCCGGCGGGTGAGGGTGCCGTTGGCCATGAGTGGGTTGGCATCTTGTGGTGAGACCCGGACGCGTTCCAGTTGCGCCGAGACGTGGCGCCGTTCCTCCTCCAGCGCCCGGGTCAGCTTCTCAAACTGGGCCTCTTGTTCCTTCACAGAGGCCAAGATGCTGGCGGTCGACTCCACCTCTGAGTCGTCCATGAAGGTAAGGGGCGGAGCCGCCGCAGGGCAGGGTAAAAAGGAAGGTGTGGATCACAGAGGGAGGAGCAAAGAGGGAGAAGGCCCCCCTCACTTCACACTACTGAGAGAAGGTAAGGGAGAGGAGAAAAAAGGTCACAGGTCAGAGAAGACAGATGAATCATTAATCCCAGAGCCAAAGATGCCCTCTTGTGGTTTTACCGCAAGGCAGAAAGCCAACCACCACCAAGCCTAGGAGCCCATCACCACTGTCCGCTCAAGCAGGATCCTTTGCCCACTACCCTTTAACACCTCACCAGAAATAACCACCGCATGGAAAGGTGCAACTAGATCCAAGTCTACACTGTTGGCAGGAGAAGGAGAATATGGCTAAGTACTATAGTCATAGTCATAACAGGAGATTAATATTAGATTATTTTTCCCTGGAAAAATTTGCTGGCATTAACTCAGTGAAAGTTGTAACTCCACAGCACACACCAGCACCCACTGGCCTGCAGAGGTACGCCATTTCTAGAATTAAGGGAACAGTACAGACCTACAGTTCTTACCTCCCCAAATCTGAACACTGAAATTGCCTCAGGGGTGGCCAAGTTTACAAAATGAATATGCAGGTTAAAAAGCCAATCAATCAAGAAATATAAATAGTAAAAAAAACTTCCTACCGTCAAATGCAGGCAACAAAATGAAGGCCCTCATTTTGAATACATTTATGAAGGTGTCTTTCTACTTTTCAAAACCATACTATAATGCTGAAGGCAAACCATGGGCCTTGGCTCAAGGAGACAAGAGAGCAGTAAAACCACAAAAAATTCTGTATGTAAAAAGGCTCCACTTGCAGTGACCTTCACCTCTTTGGGAAGTTGGAAAATGAACACTGGGCTCAAACTCTGAAATTGCCCCTTGAAGTAGTTCACATTCTAACCTTCAGTCAATGTCTGGGAACTTCCTATATCCCTGTTATCCTGCAGAAAGCTCTAAATAAACCAAGTGCATTTTTATATCTTTACCTATTCCAACTCAGGTTAAACACCCAAGTAGCTAAAAGATTTGTGTTCTATTTATACAATAAATGATTGTTGTATAAAAAAGAAGAGTTCCCCACACCCTACTGCATTAACTGCAAGTCGGCCAGTAAATGGAGGGGCCCTGTAGACACACCATTGGACTCAATAGGGTTTCTCGCTTACAAACTGGCTACAGGAGACTTTATGGCCAGTCCAACATATACCATGTCAAGAGGTTTTAAAATAAACTTTCTTCCCCTATTCCCCACCCTCTTCTCAACCCCTTAAAGAAAAAAAGGTACTTAAAAAATTTATTCTTAATAAACATATTTCCATACACACCTGTTAAGACAAGGTCGTAACTGACTGGTTTTAACACAGAGTACAGCCCAGTCTAGATTCAAAAAATCATGGGAGAAGCATCCCAGCCACCACAGCAAGGAGGAAGCAGGAAGGAGAGAGCTGCAGAAATATTTGGAGGAAAAATGAGATTGAGAGGAAAATAAAATATACCCAAAACATTAAAAAATAAGAGGAAGGGGCAGGTATTGGGAGAAAGACAATCTGGGAATGGAAGGGAGTCACATAAAATAGGACTTGCAATTGCTTAATGTGACAAATGCCCTTGGGACTTTGTTCTGTCTTCAGATACCAGGACCCTGATGTAGTTTTTATTAAAACCTGGATTCTACTGTCATGGAGTACTTCTGTACAGAGTAGGTTATAATATAGATAAAAATTCACTTATCCCCTATTCCCAGCCATCGAAGTGGGGGAGAGGAATTTCTGATGTTGGAATGCCCTTCCCCCTTCTTCCGACCTCTAAGGCAGAAACCTCAAAGCCCAGTCCCAGCATGCCCACAAAGACATTGAGAAACCAATGCAATAGTGGGGAAGACATGTGGGGACTAGCCTAGACTGAGCCTTTTGCTTCAGTTCCCTTTCCCACGCTCCCCAGGGCCCCTACCAAACACAAGCGCTGGGGCCTGTTTGCTCTAGAGTATATGCAGCATTCTGCAAGCAAGAGTACCCAGAGGAACAGATAGACAGGTGTCCAATAAACTCCCTAATTAATCCTCTACCACTAAGACATCTTCCAGTGGATCCAGCACCGAAATCCAAGAATGTGGCAGCCCCCTCTAAGTTTCTCTGTCTTTGGCTCTGGGTTCCCGTAATCACTTATCAACTACTGTTCTTCCTTCCGGTCTGTTGCTGAGTTTTGCTATTCCCACCCTACATCCCAACAGGCCACTCAAACGTCTTTAATAAGTATCCTCATTAAAAAAAAAAAAAAAACTTTTTAAAATGCTGCTCCCTCATCTCTATTGCTTCATTTTAAGCATTGAACATATCCGCTCTGTACGATGACCTACGAACCTTCATACCGGGAGGACTCTAAAGCTCAGGAGAGATCTTCCAGTTCTAGATTTCAACAGGGTCTGAACTGCACTTACCACTCTGGCAGCCTCCACCCTGTAATCTTCTTTGTTAATAAATACCCAAACTACCACTATCATGGGGCATACAGTAACAACACTCCCTGCTGCAGAGAAATTGTCATCGTGTGGTAAACAGCTACTTTTTACCCCTACAACTTTCAATAAAGGGAGTTAAGAAAGGATAGTCGGAAAACTACCCAGGGCTCTAAATCAGGATGCAGGATCTTTTCACATCCTTCACGGCTTTAAGGACTGAGCACCAGGCTCTAATCTGCAGAAGATGACAACACAGCTAAGCAGAAAGAAAGGACCAGATTCCTAGACCTAACAGCGCGGTGAGATTTTTCTGCCTGAAAGGGGGCAGAGGCAGAGGCTATGTAGGATAGGACACAGAAGACTGGTCCCAGTCCTGGCGCTGCCACTAGCCAACAATGGCAGGAAGTCAATGCCATGTTCTCATCCAAGAGATGCCAGCATCACCAACCCAGTTTAACTGAGAGTTGCTAAGAGGATCAGGTGAGATAATGTATGTCATACAAATGTGAGGTATGAAGTTGTTTCAAGAGTTAGTTTCTATCTCCCAATTATATTACTTAATGGTAATGCCTCAGCCCAAAACTATTTTGTGAACTAGTAGATGAGACTAACCGGATCAAAAGCATAACTGGGTTCTAAGGAGTGGATGAGCTGGTTCCCCTGCTCCAACTCTATTTACTAGGAGGTCCCACCTAGACCAGTGTTTCCAGGACACAGAGTGCAGGATTACACACCCGCTATAATAAGTTCTTGACCCCTTATTTGAGGCCTTAGCAGTTTTTGACCACAGAGAAAGGGAAGGTGAAAAGAACTAACAATTACTGAGTGTTTTACATTTATTATGGTGGTAATACAATGCTAAAGAAGGAAGTTTTACTTTACTTTACTTTACTTTACTTACAAATGAGAAAATGGGCTCTAGGTGAAGAAATTACCCAAGATCTTGGTTAATAGCAAATTCTGAATTTAAACTCAAGTATATTCCATTCCAAAGCCGGTGTTCTCTTTCTACTACATGCTGTCAAGCCAAGAAAGTACAAGCCCAGTATAAGATGTACAGTCCAGCCCTTCTCCCCCATAGTCCTTGCACTTTCTGCCAAAACATCACAAGAAATAAGTGAGGGAGGGGATTTCCATTTTTCCTTACATTAAAGGGTTATTCATAATGTCTACATAGAGGATATAAGTGGGAGAAGGGAAACAAATGGGAGGAAAAAGAGAGCGGAAGTGGGGGAAGAGAACGAAGCCAAGGACGAGCTACAGTACAACAGCCCACCTCACAACTCAGACTTGAAGAGTCTTCATCAATGCCATACACATAAAAAAAATTGTGCTTTAAACCAGAATCTGCAAACCACTAATGGACTTTGGCAATTAGAGTCAAGAAAGTCACGGGAGTCCAGGCCAACACCTTTCTTAATATTTTCAAATGCATTACACTGGTTCTCACTACAAAAAGATGGTCAAGGAATTCTCCAAATGAGGAGAGAAAGACCACACATAAAGTGCGCCCTGCCATTCCCCTAAGAGTAGACTTTCCCCTAAGACTATGACTGGTTTTACTTGTAACAAGCCACAGGTGCTATAGACCTGTGAATCTACAGCAAGTCTCCAGCATTCAGGTGATGACAATGGTAAAAATTCAGTCTCTTCCGTAAGAAACCCAAACCAAAAGTTAAATTGGATCAAATACCCAGAAGGACCAAAGAGATGATGCCAACCAGTAGCTGGGTAAAAAGTATCAGCAAAGCACAGCCCCTGGAATGGCCTATCCTACTGTCATGTGGCTATAGGAATGTAACTTAAGATTCTCAGTTAAGAATACAGGCTTTGGAATCTGCCTGGGTTCAAATCCCAGTTCCACTGCTTCTTAGCTGTAGAACTTCGGGCAAAATACCACTTAAGCTCTAAACCTCAGGTTCCTTTTCTGTAAAATGGGGGAAATAAAATACACATAAGAGTAACTGCAAGAAGTATGTGAGACAATCCACATAAAGTGCTTAGAAAATGTTTTGACACACAGCAAGCTATTAATATGGTTACTGATAAAACACTACCACAAATAGCTAATACAAGGGGCCAGAGTTTGGTGGTGTTAATAGGACTTTTGAATAAGCCACACATATCTCCACATGCCCCCCTCTCCGCTTTTATAAGAAGCCCAGTAAACTACAGGAATTCTCCACACTCTCAAAGGGAAAGACAAAATAAAATTCCAGACTAGGGGTCAAAAGACCTGGGGTTCAAGTTCTGGCTCTGCCTAAAAGTAGCTGTGAGAACTAACTCAAAGGGTAAGTTATAACCCCTGTAATCTTCACTTTCATTACTTGTCAGGGTTTAGCTTTAATGGGCTAATATATGTAAAAGTATAGGCTGGGTGACTGAAATTCTCCTACATCCCTGCTATTCTGATAAGTATATCTGAAGACATTGGTGCCTGGGTGGTTCAGTTGGTTGAGTGACTGCCTTCAGCTCAGGTCATGATCCTGCACTCCCAGGATCAAGTCCCACATCCGGCTCCCTGCTCAGCAGGGGGTCTGCTTCTCCCTCTAACCTTTCTTTCCCCTTCCAGGCTCGCTAGCTCTCATTCTCTCTCTCTCTCAAATAAATAAATAAAATCTTAAAAAAAAAAAAAAAGTATATCCAAAGACATGACCAGAATTAGGCAAGCTACCCCTTATGGAAAGAAGAAAAAGTATCTGCCCTCAGATGGAGAACTCTAAACCCCCTCAGAATAGTCTTAGAGTTTCTTCGGAAAGAAATTTTATCTTCTGCAGCCAATCCCAAAACCAGTCGTCCTCT